CATCCGCAGTGGAAATCGCCGTAGCCGCGATCACACGGTGTCAGCAAATCAATTCTTTATTTAAGCCAATGTATTGTAATAGAAAAACACTTATAATTTTGCATTTATTAAAGCACGTTATAATGTCCGTTTAATTTTTGATTTTTAAATAATAATTTTAATAAAAAAATAAATAATAAAATAATTTACAATTAAAAAATAATTTTTTAAAAAGTGAAATCATCCTCCAGAAGCATCATAACATATATATATATATATATATATATATATATATATATATATATATATATATATATATATATATATATATATATATATATATATATATATATATATATATATATATATATATATATATATATATATAATATATATATACTAATAAAATATTCTTGTAAAAGTGAACTATCTGTAAAATAAATTAAACCATGAATAGTGTCACAAAATATTGTTGAGACTAAACTGTGAACAACCCTGATGCGTATTTGTGATTATGATTAAATAACTATAGAGTTACTACTAATACTACTACTACTACCACTTTTGAATAAGCGAATGTTTACAAAATCGTATTTAATCTAATAAAAATAAAGTATAATTCTTAATATGATTAGATGTGATTAAATACAATTTCTGAGCATCTAATATTTTAGGCAATTATTTTATAAATTACGTTTTGAGGTTTCGTAAAGAAAATCCGGTAATTATCAAATCGACAGCTGCAGGAGTGGAAGACGCCGGAACTTCCCTGCGGGATTTTGTTCTCCAATAAAACCAAGCTGCTCCTCCAAACACTAATCCCACCTGATTACTTCGATAACAAATTAGCTATCGTAGGAAATCAGGACCGGTATAATAAGAAAGTAGAGAAAGTGGAAAATAAAATGGTTTCTCTGACTAATATCATGCACACATATTAAAAAATGTACTATATGTAATATTCAAAATATTAAAAGTATTTAAATATTTCTCTAGAGTGGTCATGATTGCGTACTTAAACAACACGTTAGAAACTAATATTAATTAATACTTTTTTCTACCAATTCACTGCATTTGATTTCTTCTGGCAAATTTTGTTGCGAAGGTCTTCATTAGTTAATTTAAACTCTAAATTATACTTTAAAGTACTTTAAGCGAAGGTCTTTAAACTAGTATATTGTCAATAGTGATGAGACATTTTCCATCCTCATCTAAAAACATACCGGGTGGTGCATCAACGTTGGAAATCATATGCCAATTTTGAACTGTCCAAATATTGGCTCCCCTATTGATTTTACAGCGAAGTAGTAAATAGGTTTCTAAAGATCTGGGTATCATGAAGACACAAGCCGAATTTGGACATATTTGAGTAAGCCGTTTTATTTAAGCCGCAAATATTGACAATTTATCGTAGGTTGACAATTGCCTGGTTTTGCATTGTTACCTGTCCAGTTTTAATTTAAAAATAAATGCAGTTTTTCTAAATTTTGTTAAAACGGCTTTTTCAAAATTGTTCAATTTGACAAGTGTATTCAGCATACCCCAATCTTTAATACCTATTTACGTGAATCAGTAGGAGAGCCATTATTTGGAAAGATTTCCTATGTTTCCAATCCGGTAGATAGTTTCTTGAAAACCTAATATTATTTTAATCTGTACATTTTTGAGATGTCGTGAAACAAGCTGAGGTCTGGGTACAATGGTGCAAACCTACAACTCATGATATTTTAGAACTTGCTTTTATCAGAGTTCTGTATGAAGACATGGATATCTTCTTGTGCCCCCTGTAATATTTTAATTGTCATTTTTATCAAAGGAATAATTAACAAGTTAAAGAGATACCATGCTAGATACAAAGGTGCTTCTACTGACATGTTTCTCCCATATTGGAATACATGGATGACTTAATTATAAGATTATACCTTCTGGAATTATTATTTAATTATTATATATTATTTAATTTTGTCAAGTAAGTCGAGACAAAAAAAAGCTGAGCAGATAAAATTACGTACCACTCTCATAATACCATGTTCCATCCATACATCTGAAAACATGGATTTTTTTAAACCTTTTAATATTTAAAATCTAAACTAATAAAAATTGCATTATTTGAGGTTTACAGTACTTGTTCTAGAAAATAAACGTTCTATTTTTCATTTTCAAACCTCGGAGAGAGTAAATGTGTTAAATTTACTCATTTTTATAACCCAATGAAATATAACCGCCCCGACTGAATAACTTAAATTAAAATAGTAAATGACAATAAAAGCATTTAGAAGACGAGATTTCTTCCGTAACAAAAGCCGGGCTTAAAATTTTTATGAAAGAAACAAAAGGTGTAATTTTCGCAATTCCCCAGTGACGGTTTCAATTCTGCATTAGAATCCGGCGCGGTGCTTTTCTTGGTGCATATAAATTTAGGAATAAGTGCAGGTGGTCGCAGGGTAATTCCACCAGAAACAAATTTTAATTAAGAGAGATCCGGTGGAAAGCTGGACTGTTTTTTAATAAAGCTGAGACTGGCGGAGTTCGTCCTCTTATTCCTTTAAAGAAAAGTGTTCGCAATTTATACTGCTTGGCTTTATTAAAGGAAAATATTTGTTTTCATTCTGTTGGAGCCTCAGTTTATGAACAAATTTTGATCTTTTTTTAACAAATAGAAAAAGGTGTAGTTTAACTTAAATTACATTACATTAAATATCAAATATTAAAAAAACAGTTATTTTGAGCATATTTTGAGCATCATTTATAACAACTATATTAGGGGGTAGGAAAGATAAAAAAGTTTACCCATTTAAGCTGAATGAATTCAAGAACATCAAAAAATGTGGGGAGCAGGGAGAGTAAATTTGAATCAAGGAATTGTTTTCCATTTCCAAACATTTTTTATCTAGAAATAACAGCAACCCATCATTGTATGGAAGAAATAACAAATCAGGATATACATATGGATAACACACCATTTAGTTGCCATATTTACAGGTATCCAACCCACGCTAAAAGCATTCGATTTCATAGATGTCAATTCTAGACTAGTATTGGATAGTGTGCCTTTTTAGTGCTTTAAATAGGACGAGACAACGTATCAATGTTACTTTAGTCTGGATACTGGAGCACAACGGTTACAAAGGCAAGAAAATAGCAGATAAAATATCAATACCATTCATAGGTCCAGACCCTTTCTACAAAGCTACTAAAGTGATTTCAAAAATGACCAACCATTCTCTAAAATAATGAAAGCAATAATTCACCAGAAAAGAGAGAGGCAAAAAGTTCATTATAGAACTAACACCTGCCAATAATACAACACTAACCAAACTAAAATTTAAGGCAGACCTGATAAGCAAAGTCAGGAACATACAGTATTACGTATACTAAAAGTTATTTTTTTTGTATATTATATAAGGTATTTTATATATTATGATTGCAAAAGTTCTGTATTCCTGATCCAACTAGTTTTGAGCTTCCTTTAGTGGGCATCACTGCTATCATCTCGCGGTTATCTGTGGTCGCGCTTATCGTGCGCATAGAATAATTGTTTGTCAGATTAATTTATTGACGTCCATCGCCATTACAAATCTGGGTTATAGTTTGATCATTTAAAACTATTTACTGTGTTAATCTACATAATCCGTTGGGATTTCAGTGAAAAGGTAATAATGTGATATTGTCTTTTGTGGATTCAGTATTTTCACTGTTTATTTTTAAGATAGAGTTTTTCTGAGCCCAACTTAACCTAAAATATCTGGCATACTTGCTGAGGCATTTTATTTAAGTTCACTCTTAATAACGGTTGATTCTCACTATACCTTCCATATCACTACCATCTGTTTCCCTTCCGTTTATATAAAATATTATATCATGCAAATGAATATGACAATCCGTTCCGTTTCCCTTCCGTTTCATATCCTTTCCTTCCATACATTTTTTTAGCGGACGGACTGAAGCGTATCGGAAACAGCGTTGTCAAGTTTTCACATTTGTACCAGCTCTGCTAACATTTTGCTGATAAATGATATTAATTGTGTGTACAATAAAAAGTATGCAACTGATACGGAACGGAAGCTTACGTACAGCATCAATACAATAAAAATACCGAACGGATATGGAATGGATATGGAATGGAAACGGAAGGTATAGTGAGAATAAACCTTAAACCTCTCATATTTTAAATTTACCAATTAATTTCACATAATTTTTTATCTGACAAGTATTTTTATATCATAACCTTACAAATTGTGCAATGTTAATTACAGTAATTCGGAATTATCCTGATGCAATATAGACATTTATTTTTAACAACTACGAATGTTTTTTTTTCTGTATATGCCATGCTCCCAACCTTTTTAGTTTTAGTATATTAAATTAGTTTTCTCTGGTGAAATATTAACGAACTTACAATCCAGCTCTGCGAACAATACAAGCTACCGTACGCATGGGTCACAATATACATTTTTAAATATTAATTTTTTATTAACTAAATCTGTTGCAAAGTGCACCGCAAACTCAATAGGCATCTAAAACTGATAGGATTGATGGATGGACAAAGCCGTGTGCAGATTTTGTCAATCAGAAAAATAAACGGCTGCTTATATTTTATGTCAGTGCGATGCGCGATGGTCTGACAAATATGCAGTTCTTTATATTAGGCAATGATAAGCAATTGTTCAAGAGATTTATGAAGGGTTCAATATACAAATTATTAAACTTTTTGAAAAAGATAGAACAAAAAATCTAATTTAATCAAATCTAGTCAAAGATAACTCAACAGCTAGATAGAGTTCTAGAATGTAGTACTAAATAAATAATTCTCGAAACAAGCCTTCGACAAAACAATTTTCTTATAAAAACAACTGTTAGGCTTCTAAATATATTTTATATATATTTTAATATTTTTTAAATATTTGTTTAGATATATTTTATGTACATAAAATGTTTTAGAAACTCTGAAATGTTCAAAAAATATTTTAATGTCTACTATTTTGTTCGAGCTCTAAAATCCTTTTTTCGTTTCTGTGTAGGTAAGCCAAGTCCAACCGTAACATGGTTTGTAAACGACCGTATGGTAGAAGGTCGTGTGGAAGCCATTGACGGTCACGTGATGGTCAACAAATTGGAAATCAAAGAAGTGACCAGGGACAAGTTAAACTCGACGTTCAAGTGTCAGGCCAGCAACACCAAGCTAATGATGCCTTTTGAGAAGATGGTTCGCTTGGAATTACTGCGTAAGTCTACATTATATTAAGATCTTGTTTAAAAAATTGTGGATTTTGCTCAAGTCACCGATTTTGATAAAGCTACTAATTTTGATCAACTAATAGAGATAGATTGAGAAAATATAGACCATTTTCTTCTTTTATGATGTAGCTTTACGAGATGTAGCTAATGATCTGAACACTATAAAACACACACATCTTTGAGAAATAAGTGTTTGTTTCCATATGTCTTCACGTGTTTTCTAAAAGTGCATAAAAAGTTCTACAAAAAGCGATTTTAGTTAATTAGCCGATTTTGATAATACTCTTATCAACTAATCAAGCGGTATACTGGGTGGTCCGAATTGTATTCGGGCAACTTTGCCAGCATCTTCTCCAGATAAAAATAAGTAAAAAGCTTCATATAAATGTATACCATAAAATAGTTCGTTTCGGAGATACAGGGTGTAGAAGTTTTATTTTTATTTCGGGTTTTTTCAAATAATTTATGAACTATAGTTGATATTTGGATGGAAATTAGTCTGAGAGTTTTTTCACATGGAAAATTTGATTTCGATGTCAATATGATTCCTACTTGTAGTGAGCGCCACCTACATTTTTTTAACTCTTTAGATGAGTAATAGTTTTTCGTCTGCACCTGTAGAAAGCTACTGAGTGAAATAATATACATTTCCGTCGTTTTCTACGTAAAAAAGTATCTTTGTAAAAATCGGTACGAGTAACCGTTCCCAAGCTATTTGAAATGGAAATGCATGTCATTGACTAAAACGATAAATTTGGGAACTTTTTTTACATTAATCATATTTTTTAGACAAAATTATGATAAAACAGTTTCTATTGAACCTTTAGCACAAAAACAATTCAAATTTATTGTTTAAGTCTAAAGAATATCTAGTTAACATGTTTAATTTTTGTCAATCATGACATCGGTTTTCACCAAGAGACCTTTTTTACATAAAATACGATGGAAATTTATTTTTTCTCAGTAGTTTTATAAAGGTACGGACGAAAAGATATTACTCTTCAAAACAGTTAAATAACATATAGGTGGCGCCCGGGCGCGCCCCCAACAAGTAGGACTCCCAGACATTAATTTTCACCTAAATGTCGACTATAGATCAGAAATTATTTGGAAAAAGCTAAAATAATAGTTAAATTTCTGTACCCTGTATCTCCGAAACAAAACATTTTAGGACAAAAATTTATACGAAATTGTTTACTTATTTGTGCTTGCAGAGTACGCTACCGAAGTTTCCCGAATACAATTTGAAGCACCCTGTATATTAGGAAAGTATAAACCATGTTTGTTTTAGGAATACATCATTATAGGGAAATATTTTTTACGGTTATAAAATTTATTCAAAAACAAAATCAATTAGTCTCTACATATTCAGTCATACAGTTTTACTGTATGACATAAGTACTGTATTATAAATTGAAATCACTAGATATTTTTATTACGAGCAATTTCCATAATTTCTGCTTCATTTTTTATTTATATTTTAATAAACTAAAATTTCTGTTTGTTTATCTCTTCCTCACCTTTCTTCTGTGCTTACTCATCCCTTTCCCCTTTCCCGCCCCGTACAGTTGACCTTCCCCCCACCATACTCGACGATTTATTCGGACGCTGATCGTTATTCATTTGTTCTGCTCAGCCGACTTGACAGCTTATTATAATATATGTTCTCCATTTCCTCCATCAATTCACATTTCTGTCGGCCTGGCCGTTCTGCCATTTTTTCCATCGCCACTTAGAACAGTAGGAGATTCCAGGCTTATATCTCGTTGGAGGATCCTGACGATAGCCTAGAGGAATGATACGTTGGAGGTGATATGAAGGATTTATACTTGTCGTTGATTTTCAATCAGGAAAAATCGTTGGGTGGATGTTTTACGAGAAGTAAAATGGTTTCTGTTTTTTCAATTTCACCAGTTTTGATTAAATAACTTTTATTAACTAATTAAATAACGAATATAAGGTATTTTGTTATTACCAGTACTATTAGTGAGTTCAAAAAATCAGTTTTTTACAAATTCAAAAGTCTTTGATTCTCTATAAAAGTACATAAAATTTTCTACAAGTTATCCTTTTCCATCTTAAGTTTCATTCATTATTTTCTCCGTTGCAAGGAGAGCGGAATATAAGATAAATAAATGTTTTCATTCTATCTACTATGATTAAATTTCGAAGTTTAATTTAGCATAAAACAATCTTCCTTTCCTTTATAGTTACTTTTCTCTGTCCAATCAGCGAAAGGGAACGCTTTCGACGTTCAGAAAAGCTTCTTTTCACAGGATCATTCCTATTAAATAAACTCATTCAGTGTACATTTCAACATCAACAATTTGTTTATTTTTATTAAAAATACAAACAATGTCTTATTTATACAAATAATTCTAAAGTAATTTTATTTACATGCTAGTTTTTTTTATTATTAAAGTGAAACTTTTTACACGTCACACGTTACATGATACACGCCACATAAGTAGTAACGATCGAAAAGGTGGTAAGCCAACGAGGAAGTTGAGATGGATCTTTGGAGCGTCGTAAGTCGGGCCTATGTGAGCTAGGGAGCTGAAACTCGGAATGCAGATAGGGTTCGAAGAGCCCCATCTTGTCATGATATTTTGAAGACGTTTCGTGCACTATAAAACCCCATCATCAATGGCGAAAAAATCGTCCGATTTAAATGAAATTTGGTATGTCGATTGATTGGACCAAGGCCAACTTGACCCTGTACGACACGTGACACTATGACAGTTACTTTTGAAGTAAAAAACGTCAAAATCGATGTCGTCCGATCGCGACCAAATTTGGTGGGTAGGCTATTTGAGCGACGGACAGAAGTTTCTCTTCAAATATGCGCACATAGTGCACACACCATTTTATTCACAATTTGTAATGTTATGATACACTGTTATATATTTCTATCTTTATAATAATATCAAGTTAGGACCTATGAAAACAAATTGATTAAAATTAATAAAAAATATATAATTTTATCCTAAATTCCCCCTTTAACAAATTATTCGTATATCTAAAAGTATTTCAATTAGTGACATGTCATAGACCTACTAGTAAATATTTCTAATAACTGTTATTTTGTTTTTATTATTTTTCTCTTATTATTTGAATCGTAGTAATTTCTAATATATAATATATTTTACAGTTCGCCCATTAAGTGCAGTCATACCAATGAAACCAAGACAGCTAATAGCAAACGAAGAAATCACTATTCATTGTGAAGTCTCTGGATCTAGACCAAAAGCCATCATTCACTGGACTAGGGAAAATAGACCATTCAGGAGAGGCAAGGTACATATTTAATAAATAATATCAGTAAATCCATGAATACCATGTTTCTCAAATCATATACACATCAAATCATATTTCGTCATAGTATTTTGTCTCTAAAAGATACTTTCGAATGTTAAGAAAATAACTGTTTATTGTAGAATAAAAAAACTCTTTCAGTTTCATGAGGAGAATTCAAACGACACTCTAGTGAGTTCGGTGTCCTTTTCTCCAGTCCCTGAGGATGATGGAACTATTCTTAAATGCATAGGCGAAAATCCCAAGCTGTCTGACGGAGGACAAGAAGATTCCTTCAAGCTTAACGTTGTCTGTAAGTAACTTTTACTGTTTATTTACTGTCCTTTGCGTAGATTATATTTTCTGTTTAGACTTCTAGAATAATTATTATGCCGGGCGAAAAAAACGCAACGGAAATATTTTTGTCAAATTTAAAGTGATATATTTTTAATTTTTAGCCCAATTTTGATGAAGTTTTTATCAAACTGTATATAAATGTATCAACTTTAATCCATAAACTTAGTTTCTTTAAAAATGTTAGTATTTGGCTTATTATACAGGGTTAATTGAAGGGTTGTTTTTTACCAAAAAGTTTAAAACACTCTGTGCAATAATTTCGTTAGCAAATTTTCCTAAAACATAATTTTTCGGACGTTTCAGACGTTTCAGACCCAAGAACGGTAAACTAATAGGATTGCTCATCCTCATAAGACGTACGTTCACCTCTTCCCGCGCTTCAGCTGACAGTTGTGACGTCATTGTAGCCCTTGTCAAAGCCTTCGTGGCCTTATCATGATAGTGGGTATTATTAGTTGCGTGTGGTAAACTTATAAAAATAACAGCTGAGAAATTTTGAGTTAATTATTTTGTCAATTTTAAATGTGAAAAAGGTGTCTTTAAAGTTTTTAGAGCTGTAGAGTGTATAAATACGTTCATTTTGTGTTGTGGATTGTGACAAAGTGCATACTAAGTGCCCACGATTTTGTTTATTAATTATTTTAAAGCAAAATATGGAAGTACTCTAAACAGAATGCTTACAAAAGGTGATGCTGGGAACTGCTGTTCTTAAAAATGCATTATCCGAGTATTTAATACGATTTATACAGTTGATTTTCTATACTGCATACATATAAGGTGTTTAAATAAATAAACTAAATAATGAACGTTTTGCATTCGGTAACCAATAACACACGTGTGTGTATTATTGGTTGCCGGATAAGGACTAATAACCATGACAAGGGCTACAATGACGTCACAAAGCGAGTAGTTTTCGCATGCACCTGGCGGACACTTTTGGCTGAATGAGCAGTCCTATTAGGTTAACCGTTCTTGTTTCAGACCTATGTTTCTGAAGCATTTTGTTTCTTGGATCATGCCTTGGTTAAATTTTAAGGGCGAAACGAAGTTGCCACCAACAATTTGCATTGTTTTTAATTATTATCATCCCTTTTTTGTTATTTTTCGATGTGACAAGGTGTCTTAGTTGATTATTGTGGATTATACAGGGTGATTCAGATTTTACTACAATAACTGCAGGTATCTCTCGATAGAACTAACCGAAATAATGATAGTTTGTATTATAAACCATACTCCAAAAACACTTCCGCTTGGAGTAAAATGGCACTAAGATTTGAATTATTTTTCGGTTTTTATTTTATTACTCGTAAGCCAGAGGATCTAAATACGCAAGTGTTTGTTTGAATACTAAGGGCAACGTGGCTGATATGTGTGAAAAAAATTGGATTAATTGCTATACAGGGTGTTGTTTTTGTGAGTGTCAACTGCACGGAACCTTGTCGAACTTTTTTTGTCTCACGCCACTGGATAAATTTGTATTTTTTTCTGATACCTTCCGTCTTTTTACTAACTTTTCTTGTTCTTAATTTTTTTTTTTTGATATGTCGCTTAGTTTTCGAGATATTCCACAAAATTCCGGACATAGCTCAACTGCGTTCGAAAATTGTTACTTAATTAGCAGCATGCCATATGAAAAATAATTCAAATGTTAGCGCCATTTTACTCCAAGCGGAAGCGTTTTTGGAGTATGGTTTATAATACAAACTACCATTATTTCGGTTTGTTCTATCGATACCTGAAGTTATTCTAGTAAAATCTGAATCACCCTGTATACTGCTATGAACTTTCCGGCATGTTCGACAGATCTGAACCCTATAAAACACGTTTGAAAAATGCTTGACAGGAGAGAGAGGTCGCAATACGATACCAGTTTTATTAAATAAACTTTGCTTGGTCCTTAAAGCAGAATGTGAGAGGATAACGCAATATGGCAGCCTCGTTGACAGTATGAACGGACGTCTCAGGCAGTTATAGGAGCCAAGGAAGGCAATACAAAGTATACTTATAATAATTATAGCTCCCGTATATAGCGTTTAACGCCTTGGGAGTAGCAAGGTACAGCTTACCTTGCTAGAACCGTTCGGTATACATGGAAGGTAATGTGGCTAGCATTACGCTTCAACCGCCTATTATTACCTCAGGATTGTGAATCCCAAGTAGTCATTTAAGGCTGAGTCAACCTAGATAGGACCCAAACTATTTTTATCATATTAAAAATGGTCGGCTGATGAAATGCCGACTGTAGGATTCGAACTTACAACTTTCAGATTGGTAGACGAGAACTGCAGCTCTTCGCCACCGGTCACCTCCCCACAATACAAAATATATTTATATATTCGTTTAATATAAATAACAATAATTATCACAGATCACATACAATACTTACTATGTTACCTGTTTATTTGCTGATTTTTGTTTGTGTGTTTAATTCTATTATCTGTTTATGTTTCTGGATATTTTGTCAGCGCAAAAAATGTCACACTGACACAATTTGTCTTATACAATATTCGAGACACGTAAGGGAAAGTTAATCAAAAAAACGTATTATTTTTATTAGGTTTTGTATCGTACAGGGCCGAAGCAGCAATGGCCCAATTTTGCCAAATTCACTCTTAACCAAACCAATTTAATAAAACCTTTCTCGATTCCCCGAACGGCGGCAATATTTGTCCCTTTCCGCCGTACCAAAATGAAAAGCAAAAGCGGGCCTCACAATAGCTTTAATCCAATAACAGCGGGCCGCGCTAAGGCCCCAGACATACGCCGAGTTTTAAACTGAAATATATGGACGCAATTAGGACAATGCTGTAATATTTGGCAACAACGTTCCCCCTATACGTTTAACCCGGTCCGGTTCCGCTATATGAGTTTTAAAATGAAAAATATTGACACTATTATAGTAGAATAGTGTAAATGTAGCCTTAATAAAGCTTTACTAATGTTACGTAGCGCCGAAAATACTTTTTACCATTAATGGTGACTTCGGGTGAAACACAAGATCGTAAATAAAGAAGGGTGAGGGTAAAGTGTCAGACAATAATAATTCTAGGTTATTTCGTTCGCTAAGGAATGAAAAATAGCAACAGTAATAGTGTCTGAGAAATGCGCAGCTAAAATTATAGCTTCTGGTTTGTTTTCGTGTATTTGGATTTGTAATTATACACTTTGGGGTTATTTTGACTGATAAATTTTAAAAAATACATAGTATATACAGAAGTATAAAAAGGCCTTGACCCCTCCAAGTGTGCTAATTTCTGCATTAAGTTTATCAGACTGAAGGAAACAGCTTTCCGACGACCGGTTTCGGGGATGTATCACCATCATCAGGCCAACTTTGCTGAATCCTTCGGTCTGACTAATATACTACTACTGACTATAATAGTACCTATGGTACTCAGATACGATTACTGCGCTTTGCATGTCAGATCGAAGGAGACAGCAAAGTCTGCCTGATGATGTACGGGAAGGGTGAAAACTACGCGTACCCCACATAAATTTTATTAGAAATATTGTTGAAAAAAACTCCACGACTGATATTTTTTCTGTAAAACAGTTCTCCTAGTATTTACTACATTTTTGTGTTTTGAAAAATTATCCATATTATCTTGAGATATGGCCATTTATAAGTATACCGGGTGTGTCTCGAAAGTGTGAGCCACTCTATATTTTTTTATTTCTTGAGAAAATAAAACGAGATTTGGTATGTTAGTATATGACATAAGTTAGGATTGATTGACGTATTCAATTGTTTTTGCTCACTTCCTGTGAACAAAACTGAACTTTTGATTTTTGAATGGCAAATAAATAAAAAAATAGGATAGCTTTATTTTTTTAAATGTAACTCCCTGTATATTATTACCTCCATGTATATTATTACCTCCCTGTATATTATTACGTTTCTACGAATAAAATAAAGGTAAGTTTGATTAAGGTTTACCGCATTTTAATCTTACCGTTTTTGAAATATTTACGGTTTTGTCAAAATACTGTGTAACAATTTTATATGTAGTATAATAAAAATTATACTACCTTATACAGAGTGTCTAAAAATTTATTTTAAATAATCAGTAGCTTTAAACGGCAATAACTTAATTTAACTTAATTTAAATGGAACACACCCTGTACGAGGATCAGAGTCACAATTTAATTCTCTATCAAATTGTATCATACCATTTTTACCTATCTCTTCAAGTTTTTGTAGAAAATGCATTTTCTTATAATTGAGATATATAATAGACCCCTTTTATCAATAATATACCCATGGAATATTGATATTTTAGATTATTTTTAAATTGTAACAAATTTTCAAATAGTACCAGATACTAATATTGTCGATATATTTCGCTTTATTAAAAAAATAAAAAACTCAGTATTCAAACTACATTAATTGACCGTTTGCGTTGATTAATAATAATTGCTCCAAAAACTAAAAAACTGAATTTTGAATGTGTATTAGACAGTGCGGTAAAAAGTAACTCCTTATAAATTTTATATCATTTTTTGACGAAAGCATATTTATAACAACAGATATGTATATTTTCATAACTTATTATTATATTAATCTCTGATTCGAATCCACATTTATGTAGAATAATTTATTAACTAAAATAATTAAACATGTAATTAACTAATTTTTCGAAGGAATATATGGAAAATAATGGTTGTATATTTAGTTGGTATACTCTTTTACAAAGATTTAATTAGTTTTCTTTTTGTAAACAAATGGGCTTGCAATATTATCGTTTTCGGCACCTGTACATTTTGTACATTTGTTGCTTTAAAAAATCTAGAATGTCAGTATTCCATGAGTATATTGATAAATGAGGTCTAAATTATAAGAAAATGCATTTTCTACGAAAACAGGAAGAGATATATGAGATATATATTTGATAAAAAAAAATATACAGATTGTTTCGTCAAAATATACAGAGTCCAATGAACATATTTTGATTTCAA